TCTCTTTAGAATTTTTCATATTAACTTTTTCACCTTCTACCAAAGAAAATCAGAGAAATACACACATTCAAAGAAAAAAAAAAAAAAAAAAAAAAAAAAAAAAAACTTGATCTATGATATAAAGAAAAAAATCAAAAGAATATTAAGAAAAGAACAATATTAGTCTATAGGAAGATAATCCACAACTTGTAGAATGCTATAGTACTTCCAAGAAGAGGAATAATCCACTCTTGTCAAAAAAGACCAAAATTCTAATATTATTTTATGGCAATGTCAACAAACTATTAAAAATCATATAAAAAACAAGGATTCAAGACTAAGAAATGGAATTAGCTTGACATTAGAATAATAACTAAATATAAAGCAAAAAGGTCTTTGCTAGATCACAAGAAGTGAGTTGTCAAGATTGAAGATCTCTTTAGCCTCGATTCCTATATATACTAGGTCCTAAAAAGCTTCTTAAAAAATTTTCATGAAGCTTGGGAACAAAGCAAGCCTAAGATCCTTCTTCGATAACTTCTTAAATCATCTAAAGCCTTCTAAAACCTTCCAGGATCTCTTATGGCCTTCTAGAACTTTCTTAGAATCTATTGGAACCTTTTAGAACGTTCATAGAATCTACTGGAACCTTCTAGAATCTTTTAGGATCTAATAGAACCTTATAGAATCTCTTAGAACCTTCCCAAGCCTTCTTTGGTTGTATATCCATGATACTACTCAAGTTGACTTCTTTAGATATATCATTTTTAACAAAAAACTTGTGATCGATCCAAAGAAGATTCAAACTATTATAAATTGGAAGATTCCAAAAGTAATAAGAGATGTGTAATATATTTTGGACTTTGCCAATTACTATCACATCTTCATCAAAAAAAATTCATAAGGTTGCAGCTCTTCTTATACATCTTCCATGCAAAGACAAACTTGATTAGAGCAAAGAAGCTAAAGTATCTTTTGAAGCCTTGAAGTTGGCATTTATTTCTGCATCAATCTTATATTGCATTGACTTTTTGAAGATATTTTTTATGAAAATAGATGCATCAAATTTTGCTATGAGTACTATTTGGTCATAAATAAGAGAAGATGATAAGCTCCACTAAGTAATTTTCTATTCTAAAAAATTCTCAACAATCAAAATTAATTATGAGATCTATGACAAAGAACTTCTTACAATTATAGATTTTTTTTAAGAATGGCATCATTGTCTAGAAGGCTCTTCTAATCTAGTCACTGTATATATGGATCATAAGAACCTTGAGTATTTCATATCAACACATGTTTTGAAACATTACTAGGCTTGTTGGAGCATGTTTTTGTGAAGATTCAAGTTTAATATCACTTATTGTCTAGGTAAATAACAAGATTTTTTGATACTCTTCCTAGACATTCTTATCTTGTATCTAAAAAAGGAGATGTAACTTTTGATCAACAAAAAATAATTTTATTGAAGCAAGAAAAATTTCATTTTTGAGCATTGAAATCAACATTGGCTATTGATTCAACTTTTCTCAAACAAATTCAATCAAGTATATCCTCTAATCCTCTTGTTCATAATATCAAAAATACTTCTTCTAAGTCTTATAATACTTCCAAATTTGAGTTCAAGAACAACCTACTTTATTTTGAAGGATGCTTATATGTTCTAGAAAGAGAAGTATGTTTATGTATTTTTCAAGCATGTCATGACTTTCCAACAGCAAAGCATTTTGGATACAACAAGACTTTAAAGCTAATATTAAGAGATTTTTTATGGCTACAAATATAGAAAGCTATAAAAGAATTAGTTCAATCATGGGACATTTCTTTAAAGTCAAAAACTCCTCATCATTGACCTTATGGACTTCTTTAGCCATTACCCATTCTAGAACAACCAAGGTCTTTTATTTTTATGGATTTTATTATAGATCTTCTAATCTTAGATTTATATGATTCTATATTTATGATAGTTGATTATTTTATCAAAATGGCATATTTTATAATATGTACAAAATCTATTATAGGTGAAGAAATTTCCAAGTTTTTCTTTGAAAATATCTATCAATATCGTGGATTGTCAAAAGATATTATATCGGATAAGAAGAGTCAATTAATATTAAGATTTTAGAGAATCTTTTTTAAGATTCTAAAGGTGGACATAAAGCTTTCTTTGGCCTTTCATCCTCAAATTGATGGATAGATAGAGTGCATAAACTAAGTTTTGAAGTAATACTTAAAATATATCATCAATTATCAACAAGATAATTAGACAATCCTCTTGCTATTAGAAGAGTTTGCTTATAATAATATGATACATTCTTCTATGTAAAAAATATCTTTCTTTATCAATTATGGTTACCATCCATGATTTGATATTTTTGACTTTTTAAAAGTTGATAATCCTACAACGAAAGATTTGGTAAATTATTTATCAAAGCTATGTGTTACAATGAAGGTGCAATTAAAAGAAGCTCAAAAATGAAAAAATATCAACTCAGATGCTTATTGAAAAGAAAAACCATAATTCAATGTAGATAACAAGGTATGTTTACTTCATTATAATATCAATACTATTCATCCTTGTGACAAGTTGGACTACCACAAGCTTGAACCTTTTCCTATTTGTGGACAAATCAATCTTGTTGCTTATTGATTACATCTACTAGAGTCAATGAAGATTCATCCTATATTCCACATGTCTCTTCTTGAACCATACAAGACTGTGAATATACCAAGAAAAAGACAAGTCCCACCTCTTCCTATGAAAGTCAAGAATAATGAAGAGTTTGAAATACAAGAAGTTCTAAACTCAAGGCAATGCTGAAATAAGTTAGAATATCTTATCTATTAGCATGGATATGATATTAGTGAATGCACATGAGAGCCAACAAAAAATCTTACAAATGCAATAAAGATAGTGGAGGCTTTTTATCAATGACATGCATCAAAACCAAGATAAAAGATAACATACCTTTGCTATAAAAAAAATATAATTTAAGAAAGATTACATTCTATCTTTTATTCTTCTTTGTAGTTTTTGAATAATAGTGGCGTTAGGGAGATTAAAAACCAACTGTTGACAAATTCAACTCAAGAGCCATCATTTGCTGACTTATCAGATAAGACATTATAATTATCACAGTCTTCAAGATGACGTAATAGAAATGAAAACCTTCAAGAATGATATTTTCTTCTTTGAATAGATGGCGAGATACAATGCATTTGATATCACGACCTAGAAAAAGATTCTCAATGTTTGGTGATTTCATTGGAAGTAGATACAACTCTTGATGGTATTACAAATATTTTGTTTGAAGGAAGTTACAAAGATTTTAACAATAATCAAATCATAGGTTGATCTTTCTACCTTAGAATAGGACATTATCAATGATTCAAAGGACCTATTAACTACCTTCAAAAAGAATAAAGATCAGAGTACATGGAAAATACAATTTGCCGCATCTTAGACTTCCTCAACATATGATCACTACTCCTTGTTGAACTCGTCCCTAGAAAGGGAGGTAATGTTACGGATATATACCTATTGTAATTGTTACTTAAATAATATGAATAGGTAGAATCAAATAAAAGTAGATTAATTTCATAATACCTTTTAAAGAAGCTTCTTAGAGGCTTTTTAGATGCTATTTTGACTTTACATATGTGTATAGTTGATTGATAGGTTAGAAACTTAGTCAACAAGCTACCCATGTGCCACATATCTTAGTAGCTTGCGAAACAAGCTAACTATGTGGCATCCATATAAAAAACTTACCTTGGAAGTCAAGATACGTGTCATGCAAAGTTAACTTATTTATAGAGGTCCTATAGAATGTCGCCACATAGATCCTAAATAGATAATATATATAGAGGTAAGAATGAAGCCTTCTTCACTCTTATCAACTCTTTTCTTGCTTCTAGTTTAGATTCAAGAATTTCTAATTTCTTTGTCTTTTGGCAATAGTCTTTTCAGTTTTCTTTTAATATATATACTTCTTTATTTTTATTTTGACACTTGAGTTTTTAAGTTTATGCATCTTCTTTCCATTCATGTACTTGATAGAAGGCGTGGTAGTTTAAATATTTGTGGTAGATGTCATATAGAATTTGTATATTTGGGATTCACGTGCAATGATAGACAATCAATTTAGTATTTATATGTGAAATTGTTTTATTTTTCTTAAATTAGAGAATACAGTTGTTTGATAATTGATACAAAGATGCAAAGTTTTGTAAGAAGAAGGTTTGAAGGAAGTGCCAATTTTCAATCAGGTGATAGTTTTTTTATTTTATTTTATTTTGAAATTTGTTTCGTGGGATGGAAAAGTAAAAGATAATTTTTAGTGTAAGAGTTACCAAATCGACTTCGAAGGGTCGAAAGTCCGATCTTGTAGTTGGTAGCCGCACGCTCTACTCATCAAAGGTATTCCTGCAGAATAATTCAATTCTAGCAAGATATTACATGTGTATAGAAGTCGATGAATTTGTCCACGCATTGAAAAGAAAGGCGAGACTCTCGTCCCTCTTCCTGCACCCAGCAGCCCAGCCCAGCCCAGCTAAGTGCAGCCCTAAACCTCCCTCCTGGTCGCAAGATGGGCCTTTGACTGACTGGGACACTCTCGTTGTCCGCCTTTTTGTTTTGTTAATGGTTTGATGAAGAAACAGGACAACACTTCCCTATTGCCGCTGCCACTCTTCTCTACTCCCCCGTCCCTCCCTCCCTCATTCTCTCTCATTCCCTCCTCCTTCTGTCCTAATTTCCACTGGATTTTTTCCTCTGATGGATAGATCTGTTTGTGTCAGGAGTGATGCTAGGGGATGCCAATTATTGAGTTTAGGTCGCTTAGGTTGTCAGGTGTCCCAGTGAGTATTGATGCATGTTTTTTCTAGGAGCTAGTGAGGGTATCATTGATATGGGTCTGGTCGTCTCTTTTGTTGCATCTTGTTTTGCTGTGTCAATGACTGCAATTCAGATTCAATTCAGCGGTGTGGTTCTGTTTTTCATGCATGTGTTCCTAGTTGCATTTATTGAATGTCAGTTTACTTTTCCTGAATCAACTTTATTGTTTCAATGAATACATCTCAATGAGAGATCAATGAATAATTCAAAAGCTTTAAACTTGGTTTGTTTTTTAGGAGCTGTATTGTTACGAATGGCAGTGCTAGGATATGAATGATATTTAACTATGTGTAAATACATACGGGAACTTGTGCATCTGGCAACGCCACAAAAGCGATGGAGAACGCTCGTATTGAAACAGGGGAAATGTTCTCCGTCACCACGGGATCCAGGTTCGGTAGGTCTCCAAGGGGGGTCAACTCCAGAGGCGTTCCGTTAAGCAAAGATGTCTGGCTGTGAGGGTCGCCGTTTGAAGCAGACAAGTGGTATTCATGTCTAAGTGTTACCTTGGACTTGTTGGGGATAAGCCCAGACATCTTATTTTTAGACGATACTGGTTCACCCACGAAAGGCGATTTGATATCAACCACAACGCTCAGCGTTGCATTTGAAAGATTGATCAGGAGAACGGTAAGTCCTCCAGTTTTGCTTCCTGCTTGGCAATGTGTATACGATCTTAATTGTGGATATGCGTCCTTGAGTTTTGTGGCTAAGACGATTCTCCCCATTAATCTCTTCCATAGGATGGCACTGCATTGAATAGTACTTCACATCTTTAGATACACGTTCACATTTTCTGATGCTAAGAATTTCAGAGAAGTCATGTAGTGATGGACAACCTGGGACCTCACCTGTACAAATCTGGATTTGGTCTAAAGGTGGTGGAGTTGAGCAGTCCGTAGTTGCCGCCTATAAGTGTCTGGCGACAGTACGCTTTGGTGTTGAATGTTGCGGCCAATCCTAATTGATCCAAGTACCTACATAGAAAGATCTCGTGTTATTGGCGTGCTTAAATTCTTTTTGGAAGTGTTGTGCGATTGAGTTATAATTCTTTTCATTTGTAAATATCTGATTTGAAAAATGTGGAAGAGGGTTGCTGACCAGAAGCTGTTAACAAAAGCATTGCTGACGAGATTCTTGCCGCTATTGTAAGCTCCACCTGCTTCTCCCACCCAGGCAGTTGCCCACGGTCCATATGTTTGGATTAACCTCTGGACTGCGCGGTAGTTGTCAAGGTCGTTGTCTAAGATAGTATAGTTGAGTATCTTCTCCACTAAATCAAGACTGTTCCCTGCGTTTTGGGGAAATGAAAAAAGAAGGAAAGAGATAACATCAGCACTATGATAGCAATTTGCAAACCAACTCGAATTGAGTGATCACAAGCCAGCATAAATGAGGGTTAGCATGTAAGTGTTCGACCTGGTCCAAGGTTGTATATATGGCGACTGATACCGTCGAGGACACCGGGGCCGGATTCATTGAGAAACGTGATATACCAGTCGTACTCATTGCCTGCAACGTTTCCGGTTGAATCAGGAGCCACTAGCAATGGCTGTTGCGAATGACCTTTGTAGAGGGTGGTTATGATAGAGCGCAGTTGTTTGACGTCCTGTGCGTATTGCTTTGCAGGAATACTTGTCACCACATGATTCATAGTCAGCTCATTACCAAGCTCCCAAGCCTCCACAAAGATGCCGTGGTCCACAGTAAATTTGATGAAATCGTGTGCGTTGGAAGGATCCCAAGGACCCCACACACCGTCCGCTGATCGATTGCGGTTGTAAAGAGCATTCAGTCCAAACGCGGGCAGAGTGCTGCAAAAAAAAACTCCATGGATTTAGTTCTCAATCGCTGGCATTGTTGTCTACAACAGCATCCGATACTCTAGGGTCAGAAAAGATCAAAGTTCTCGTACCCTGTTCTCGCAAACAAGTTGGTGAGCGCAATCCACCGTTCCATGGACAAGCATCCGCCCCGATAATCCGAGATAAACGAGTCGTCTTTCACCAAGGGCAGACATGGTTGCGCTAGACTACCCAACTTTGTGTCGTAGACAATCTGGTCTTGCACTGTTCCTCCAAGCCGAAGTCTCAGAGGAGATAACGCTGCATGATTTCAGATATAATCAGATTTAAAGTTACGGTGTGGTTAGCGAAACTCGTGATTGCGAGGGAAACTCAGAGTTGACAGGTGAGGCAGAGTATCGACGTACCTACGAGAGACTTCTCCAGCAACGAATTGGAGAGATCCTATACACACCCAATGAGAAGCACGTCAGTACTTGACTCCACAACAACCAGACAGCAACGATCCCAGCTCATCTTCACCGCTGTCACAATCTGTCAATCGACAAACATAAATTCTGTACATCTAATGGTCATTGACGTGGACGCCACATGGACCTGTCATTAATAATGCACATGAGCAGGACCACTCCCAATTGAGTGTTGGTCGAACCACTGTGCATTCATCACCGCTCCAAGATCAGTGTCCCTTTTTGCTGTTCTCCACGCCAAACTTGTGGGCAAACCCGATTCACGACAGTTAGAGAACAGTGGCACACACACAATGCGGTTACCTCACTCGAGTTACACACACAGTGTCGATTACCTCACTCGAGTCCATCACCGATAAGAATGTGTGTTGCTATCCTGACCATATCTTCCACTAACAATCAGATTCGTACTCTCCGTGACAATCGAAAGAATCACTGTAATTGACAATGAAAAATGCTGTTGCAGCTGTGTTTCGATTGCAGCAGAAGTGCATAGCTAGAGAGACTCCCTGCAAGTTATTGTCATGTTCAGGAAACCATGTCCGCGTCTGTGGCAGTTCCTGTTGTGGAGCAAAAGTCTCGGAGAATTCCGACGAATTCGATATTGTGCCGACAACTAGGGCAACACAGATGAGAACTCTTCCCCTAGACTGCCAGTCAGTAGGCTACCTGCAGAATCTGAAGCAAAACCAAGACGACTCTACCAAAAACATGGAATGTTAGACGGTCTGTGGACCCGAAGGAAGTTGTAGGCAGACAAGACTGGCTCAGTGTGCTCCGAAAACTCACGATGTAGAGGATGGAGGCATGGTCCCATGAGCAGCTTCCATAGTTGCATCTGTCCTGTGGGTACCAGTCCAGCGTCGCGCACAGATATGTAGTGTCTGTAGTGGCCATGACAGATCTCCCGTCCACTTCAACTTGGAGATGTAAACCATCTTCATGGCTGTCCTGAGTTGCGGTTGAATTCATCACCTCACACAAACATGTTTGTGGCAGCGTAGACAGAGTACTCACAGCAGACAGAGATGTGAGCAAACACAACAGGAAGGCGTGGAGGATCGGATCCATTGCTCCTGGACCCATGGGTGCCCGTACTCGGATACTGCAACTATATGCCAGTGATATATAAAAATAAAAAGGGGAGGGAGGGGTGTCGGGGTGGGATTGGAGGTAGGGGGAAAGGAGATCAATGACCCTTCCTGCACCGCAGAGCGTTGTTGAAAGGCTTCAATTGCAACATGAGAGTGTGTTCGTGGGATCAGCAGTCACCTACCGAGCTGGCTGATACATCCAAATTGCAATTGATGCGAAGTGCTCCAGTGTGATGCTTACACATTATATGTCATGATCTATGATTGAGCTGTACACCACATGCTCCTGGAGTGACGTGAAGGATCACTGGAGTTGTCTGCAGATCCCTGCCAAAGTAAGGAAGCCAAAAAAGAAAGAAAGATAGAAATGCACAAAAAAAACAAAAAATACAAAAATACAAAAATAAAATAAAAAAACAGTACACAATTTCTCCATGTAGGATTCTTCACAGTGTGCTGCACCAGCACGGGTGCATTTCCTACCTCCTCAGCGCTCCAGTTGCAGCAACCCCGAGAGCTCGGCAGCATTCATTCATCAGGATGCAAGAGCTACTGTCAAGTGGGTGCCGATGCTTCAATGTGGCGTTCACTCATTTTGAACATGTGCTAATTTTCGGTGGTCTTCCTCATAAATTTAGCATTTCGCTTCTAGTTAACAGGATACCCATGGAGGACACTAGCAAAGCTTCCGAGCTTGTGTTTTCACCACACCTTGCATATATATCTCCGTGGAATGATGCTCAGTGTGGGTTACCTGCTTTGACTCATTGGGAAGCAAGTCAAAGCAGCATAACCTCGAAGATTGTGCTCTATTTTGGGCGAAAGCTTCACCTGGTTCAACGTTGAAGATATCACGCAGCAAAACCTGGAGAATTGACACGCACAAACTGAGAATTGAGCTATTTGTGCATGATTCTGTGATCAAAGTTTCCCTACTACTTTTGGAAGTTTGAATCCCATGTAATTCTAAGAATTACCCTTTTTTTTTTACCATCTCTTGGTGGAGATTAATTTTGATCCTTGATACTCTTTCAGTTATGATGCCCCAGCGCTGTAATATGTGATTTCCATCAACTGATGCAGAGCTTTAAGAATCGGTGTTTGTGCAATGTGATGTTAGTGCACGTATTTTGTAAACATAATTTCACATGGAAGGGAGTTTTTTCTTGATTCTATTTTTTTTTTTGATGCAACCAGGTGTCTTGCACATAATGAATTTTCACAAAGGAATAGTGGGTATCAAATGTACCTTTTAAAAACACATTGATTTTCATATTACACAATCACATACATCAAAACTATCAATGTACAGGGTAATACTAAGGTTTAGTGCTTGATATGATAAATAATAAATAGAAGCATGATTTTAGATTTGATGTTATGTGTTTGTTTGGTAATTGAAATTGAATTATAAAATGTTCTTGTAAGATTAAGGATCAAAATGTTCAAGTTAAAACTGGTTCAATAAAACTATCATTCATAGTATTAAATTATGTAACATAACAGTTTGTAGTTTATATTAATTTATGAATAAAATCACATTTTCATTCTTTTATATTAACAAGGTGATTATCTTGTAAAACTGCATTTCATTGTATGATAATAATGATTAAATTTTCTGAAAATTTTACTCATAGGAATTTAGATCATACGGTTGGAAGGAAAAATGTATAAATAAGTATGTAGAAAAAAGTTTAAGTTGCAAACAATAATAGAGTTTGTAAAGCAGGTCAACAAAAACATGAGAACCTTCTTTCAAACGATTATTCTAACTTACAAAACAAATAAGCGACAGTGACATTTTTTTTTCTCTTTCCACTAAAGTATCCCTTATTGAAAATTCAAAATTTTTAAAATCGTGAATATATATATATATATATATATATATATATATAAAAGTAAAAGTAAACAAATAAACCTTGCATTTGTAAAAGATGGTCATAACCATATCAATAATTTCACGTTGATAACAGATAATCATATGTCCATTCTCAAACCCTATTTTTAATATGGTCACTGAATTATCTGTGTGTATGTGTGTGTCTATATATATATATATATATATAAATATTCATTTATATTTTGGATCTTGCTGGTCTACAATACAAGTTTTGCATTGCTTCCCTTTCACAGCTTTGAGCCAACACATGCACACACACCCTTAAACAAACATTTCTACACTTTTGCTTCAAGCAAAATGCACAAAACCTGCACCTCCAAGTTCCACTCCACAGGGGGGGGGTAAGTAAATTAATAACCACAACAAGAACAAAACAAATCTTGCTCCAAATGGGTGATGTAGAGAACACACAAAACAAAACAAACATTAAAGCTCTGTGAAACCCAAACATTCTTCCTCATTTGCACACACTCATACACACGTGCTCTCCTTCATTCTAAGCCCATTGTGTACCCCAGAATCCATCCCCGCCTACTCTTTCTTACAGCTGACAATCACCCAAGCCTTTTCCTACAAAAATACACACACACACACACACAAATATATATATATATATATATATATATATATATCTATACAAGTATATACATACATACATATACATTCACACAGAAATTAATTGAAAAAGAGCTCTGCCAAGTAGTTTGCTATAGATTGTGAGGGGGAGGGAGTGATGGTTTTGGAGCACGGGGGGCAGGGGATAATGTGAGGGAAACAGGGGGTTGTATTCCCTATTCCTGTCAACAAAGGGGAACTGGATATTGTACACATCTGAGAGACATGGTGGTTCAGCCAGAATCATCTGCATCCAACTCACAGACAGCTGAAACAACAACAATGGGAAGCAGACACACAGAAAGCAGAGATACATAAATCATTTCATTCCTTGTTCAATCAATTTCCAGATATAATAGATTTCATATACATTTATACACACACACACACATGTATATATATATATATATATATATATGAATTTTGCTGATGCAGCAGTTTTCTTTTTGTCTTTTGGGGATCATTTGTGTGATGCAGACTCACGCCATTGGCTTACCCATATTTGTTGGTGAGGGTTGCATCTTTCTCGCACTGAGCTTTCTCCACACCATCTTTTAGAGTAATGTCCACATTTGCCTTTTTCATAGGGAGAGTGTATTTTCATTAATTTTATTTTGTTTTTTCAATTTATTTTTGATGGAAAACATGCCCATGATTGTGCTTTTGTTTTGAAGGATTAGAGGGGGTGTTTTAGCACATTCACCCATCATAATACTTGACATTAGAGGTATGATTTGGAGTAGGTTGGTGCTTAGAGAGGGGAGATGTGAAGGTGCTTTTGAATTTGATGTTTGTGTTGTGTAAAGATCTCTTGTGGATTTGCAATGGGTTTGGAAAAGATGGTGAGATGCATGAAGAGGACACACAAGACTAAACCCAGAATTATGATCAAAATATCTAAATTAAGTTTTGTTTAAAAAAAGTGATAGAAAGAGGGGAAAAAGTAAAAATAATAATAATAATAATAATAATCAATAGGACTTTTAGTACAAATAACTTCAAAGTAAATTTGTCAAAAAAGCGGTTTATCTTTGATAAATAAATATCTTGGAGAGGTTTTTAGTTCTAACAAGACAACAATGTTTGCAAATAATTCATAGATTAATAATGATAATGCATATAGAAATGAAACTCAATGAATCATGTGTTGTTTCTATCCTTGTTCATTTAATTCCATGTGGCACAACATTCTAAATTATTTAAAGCATATTATTTTGGTTAGACCTATTTTTAATATATATATTCTAATAATAGATATAATACATGACTTGAGCATATTTTGCTATCTAAAATTTCTTTTAAAATAATAAAGTATCTTATTAGCAATCAAAGTAGTTGATAAATTGTTTTTTGAATTTAAAAAGAAAATGGTAATTTAATTTTAAAAACTAATATAAAATTAAAAAATTAAAAATATTTTATTTTATCATATTAAATCTAAAAATAATATTTTTACAAAAATATGATCATTTGTTTTTAAAAATAAATTAAAAATTTATTAAATTGACCTAGGTGTTTACTAAATCAACCCATCTATTCTAATCTTCATCCAAAAAGTCTCCATTGTTGAATCTGCATTTGTTGAAAACCAATAAAAAAAAAAAAAAAAAAAAAAAAAAACGGTTGCATTTCTAACCAGTGATGATGGGTGGGTTGATTTAGTAAATGCTTGGGCTGATTTTTTTAAAAAATTAAAATTAATATTAAAAAGATCAAACTATAATTTATAAATTATATTTTAATTTTTTATGTATAATTTTGAAAATAATTTTAATTAATTGTAGAATCTCCAAGAATTATAAAGATTTTTGGTGCAACAAATATATGACTTAAGAAAATTAATCTTTAAAAGATTTATTCGTTTAGATTTTTTTATAATTTTTTATTTGTAGTAATGGTTATTTTTAACTAACCAATATAAAGGGCCTTAAATCACCTCCAAATTAGTATTGTTAAGCAGGTTAGACAATACATAATAAATCATAGTATAAACAATGTAATTATGAATCATACAAAATAGTCTATTAATTTAAGAATAAATAAATAAATAATAACTGTAAAAAAAAATCTATGTCTAAAATATGCATATGAATATGTATGTATGCATATATATATATATATATATATGTACATTCTTAAACAAGTCAAACTCTATGTAATTGCCAAAATCTTAATATAACATAAATACTATACACAATTATATAAATTATACATGTGGTACATTTTTGAAATTTTAAAAATATGATACTTAAAGTGTTATTGATTTTGTATGATTTTTAATCAATGAATCAACTTTACAAAAAACAATTATAGAATAGTTATAAATGTTATATTTGTTTTACTATTATAATTATAATATATTATAAAAACAGTAATTTTTTATTACATATAATTAACAAAAAATATTTATCCATTAATACATATACAACTTGAATACATATTCAATATTAATATAAAATAGCTAATAGATATGGATTTCCGAATTATATATATATATATATATATATATATATATATATATAAATCAAAAGTTTGATTAAAATCTAAAATGAATATTGTCTGAATTTTATTTGAAAAAACATAATAGGCTTTACATCCATATTTTTTAATGTATTCTTTAAAAACTTATTAACTCTTTGAGACAAATGCATATATATATATATATATATATATATATGTTGAATAGAATAGAACAATTACTATAGCAATAGGCGAAGTTTTATGTGTCAATAAGAACAACAAATTTTATCTTCAATTATCTTCAATTATATTTTTGTATCATTTTATGAGATTTAAAGCTTTCTCTTGTAAGACAAACTTGTATTTTTCCATCATTTTATACATATTATACTTGCTTTGTTTAAAGAATTTCTTGAGCATTTTCTTAAATTCTTTCACTTTCTTTGGCACCCAAAACTTCTGTCATTTTGTCTATTTTTAACTTCTTTACATTTTTTTACATAAAATAGTATAATTCATGTTTTTGGCACTAAATTTGAGGATTTAATATCATATAAAAAATCAATAATTCGAATATTAATCAAGTTTAGGTTCTTAAAGACTTCAACAAAGTCATATAAACAAACATACTTTTTAAAATAACAAGTACCTCCTGTTATTTGGGTTGGATAACTTGGTCAAACTTTTCTGTTTAATTTGAATTATAGCTTACGAAAAAAATAAAATGCAGCTCATAAATAAATATATTAACAACTTGCGGTATCCTCAATCACTTTTGATTTTTTAAAAAACTCTTATTGCAGCTCATAATGATTCTTATCAATATTTAATTTTAATTTAATTTTTTAAAACTTATACATGATTTTTTAATAGGATACTATAGAATTGTTTTTTTTTTTTTGTTTTTTTGTTTTTGTTTTTTTTAACATATTAGAAGAGTTGAATTCTTGAAAGAAGTGTATATGACAAGCTTGACAGAATCTTAGTCATGCAAGAGATAACTAATTCAACTAAGAAATCTAAACAAGTCTTTATATCATGGTACTTGACTTTTTCAAAACGTGTATAAGAGTTTTTTTAATTCCTTTTTATTGTAAAATATAAAATATTATTTTTAAGTTAAAAATATTAATAAAATTTATTATTTACTCGAGATTTTTATTTATTTATTAATGGAGCTCAAACATCTTACTTTCTTATATAAATAGGTTTAAGACAAGGTTATCTTTGATACCATACTTATTATTTAGAGTATTAGAGGTCCTTAATGCTACACTCTAAGGAATGTTGACAAACAAAAGTACTAAAGAAGTAAAAATTGTAGGGATTGATGGACAATAATTAGTAAGTTTATATGTTGATGCTTTTACTTATACTATTCTAAGAAATAGATAATCAATCACCTATAAGTTTAACATCCTTCACAAATTTATTTTGGTTTCAGAACTAGAGATTAATCAGAATAAATCTTTATCCTATTTGCAAAATAAACAATTACACTAAGATATAAGATTTGGATGGAGTTGGAGTAGAGAAAATAAAGTTAATAAATGATTAGATATTCAGTTTAGGATTTCAATTGCAACTAAATATTTTAACCAATTACTCATTAATAATACTAAATAAATAAGTATTAGAATTCCACCAAACTAATCACATAGGATATACTGCAGTTATAAATAATAAACCAACATCTTTTATTTTTTACTTCATTACATTGTTTTAGACTAGATCATCCAAAACTACTAAAAATATTAAATAAATAATTTATGGAATATATAAACTTGATATAATAATTTAATTTTATAAATATTCTATTGTATTATTGAAAAAAATATTTAGAAATTAAATATATATATATATATATATATATATACAGAAAAATAATAAGAATACTACAAAAATTATGTCAAATCTTAATTATGCTAAAAAGCCACAGAATTATTTAACTTATAAAAAAGTTGATATGATTAAATATGACATTAAATTTTTTTTTTGTTTTTTTTATTTCCTTTTATTTGCAAGACTAAAGACTTGTTCTCAATGTTTTAGCAATTTTCATTTTTTTCTTTTTAAAAATACTCAAATATATATTAATAAAAAATTTAAATAACTCTTGAAAATAGTCTATGTCAAAAAATTATTAAATTTTTTTATTGATGCATTTATACATAGTACTTGTGACCAAGTGTTGAGAAATATGTAGCAAGACTTTTCATAAGAAGTTAAAGAATTTTTTAATAAATATACTCTATCATTTCAACTTAATTTCTGATTTATTAACATGTTTACATCAAAATTAATGCTTAAATTTAATTTATCACAATTTCATCCTGCAATGCTTCTTTATTTTTAACAAATCTATTTTACACATAACAAGAATTATATGTGTAAGTCTTTAAAATTCAAATGAATTCCAAATTGTATTCACTTGAAAGCAACAGTTTGTTTTCATAGTAAATTTGTTGTCATTGGTCGCTTATGTCTTATACTGTGATTGAAATTTACAATCAACAACACCTAGTTTACAGAACATATAAACAGTCATTTGCATTACACATTTCCATGTTTACTCCTCATACATTTGGTTTAATTTTGAAATATATATCTATATATATATATATATATATATACACACACATATTCATTTTTCTTTGGAATTGGACCGCGTTCAGAAAAATATTTTGACAAAATTCATAAACCATCCTGGGAACGTCCCTCTTGCCTAGTGACGACTCTTGTGCTTTTCATAGAGTTCATCTTGTGCCTTGAGACCAACCTGACCCATGCTACCAGTGATGCCACGCTATGAACTAGAAGTCGAAACTATTTTTATTTTTTATTTTTCATTTTTTGTTAAAGAGATTAAAATTAAAATAGAGACCACAAAACCCAATCCTGCCACAACAAAGAATTCAGCTCTAATGATAGTGCAAGGTTGAAACTGAATAGTGTCGAAAGGCCTATGGCATACAACACATCAGGATCCCTGGAATCTTCCTCTGAATCTGAGCGCTGATGGTTGTTGCACACATGGAGTGGACGACTGAACTGCTTATTCCTGCTATGCTTATGACAGTAGCAACACAGCCTCTCAGTAGCTCACTTGTGCTTTAAATGATGTGCTTACAACAACAGAACAGAACTATGACGCTTACAAGACACAAGGACGATCCTCTCTATCCCTTCCTGTCGGTTACTGCTCCCTTGAGCCGGCCGACTAGCGCTGTGAATCGTACCCTTCCCCCTCAAGAATGCTGGGTCAAAGCTGGGGTGACGCACCAACTTGTCAACTTGCATTATAGTTGTTGCACACAAGCATTGTGAACTCGCTGTTTGCTCTGCCACAACTTCCATATTTTGTGACTTCTCAATTAGTACCCCAACCTTTAGGTCCACGACAACCATCACTGCGTTGTAGCAAATGGAGCGGTGCACAGTTTGATTTTCTTGTGCTACTTGATGATGTGAGCGTTTTGTTTTTGCAGCACCAGCACTAGCTCACTGTTGTTGCTCTGGACAGACCAAGAGCATGGCACTCAAGCTCCATCCATGCGCTTGGTCCAGTCAATCTGGTCTAGGTTGAGACAAAAATTTCTTTAAGACCTTCTAAGTCAAGTGTACCATGAGTCCGGACTACTCCATCTGCTTGTGCTAAGGTTCCTTGATACGTACTAAAGGTCAATTAAAGCTCGGTGCCACAAGTCATCAAAGTTTCTGGTAAACTCCTTGTCTTGGTCTGTCAATGTTCTAGAGCGATGACCAAACCTGCTGAATTTGCTCGATCCACGAATGCCATGGGAATGAAGATGCTGTTCTTCCAGGTAAGAGCCACAACCTCCACACACATGAAGGAGGGCAAAGTAACTACTATAAAGTTGTGATGGACCCTCTTGGTCAGTGCCAAATCTGATGCCAAGTCTAAACCCCACTTGTAGAACAAGCCAGGAGGTTGCTCACACCCTATCGCAATCCAAGCATATTTCCATCATATCCGCCATCTATGATTTCTAGTACCGATCACTAGAATGATGTTTAAACCAAACTGAGAATCCTCTTTACACTACAGTGGCTCAACTTCTCATGTACCAGCGCCACAGATTGTTGGCGCTCCGCTGGCATTTGCACCATGATCTTGTTATCCTCTGTGAACAGCCCTGACACATGGATATCGAACACTTGTACAGAATTTCATTTTTTTCTATTTGTTTATTTTTTAAAATTACTCTTTTAACATTGATACATACTCAAGTAATTATCCAACATAAAAAGAGAATTACAGTCAAGTAAATTCAGCATGTACCGTCCAAAATCGACTCTTCTTCCAAAAAATGAACCTCATTTTTTCACTTGCTATCCAGTGCTCCCCTTCGGAGCCTTCAACAAATGTACAAACAACACACATTCTAACTAGCTCCCTCCCAAATACCCATATAAAGAGGGCCTTATTATTTTTAACAGATGGATAAGGCAGTCTAGGTGAGCTTAAGAATCTCTATCCAGCGCCTTCATCGCACCGTTCTCCTTCTCAAAGGCAGTCACGCATGTTTTCATTGCCTGATTTGGTTCTGGAGGAAGTTGGATTTGGGCCTCCTGATTGTCGTAAGTGAGTTTTAAATCGCACGTTCGTTCTGTAAAGGTTTAATGTGAAATTCCAGCTCAATTTACCGTTTCGGTAACCGTTGATGGATGATAGCCTGACTAGGGTGTCTGCAGAGGAAGTGTGATGGGAGAATTTGGATGTAAGGAGCTCATGATCGAGGAAGTCCGCGTCGCTCGGTGGCATTCGGACTAGCCGTTGCAGTTCACGGTATAGAAATGACTGCCAGAAGGTGAGGATAGACTGATCGCATCTCGCATGACCCTTAAACGGCATAAATCTCGTGCAATCTAGCTTATTCTTAGAATAATGGGCCAGATCCGGCGCAGATCCGGCCTCAGCAGGCTCAGAAACATTTCCCAACGTCATCCGAGATCCCACAGAAATTGCAGTCATCCCAAGCGCACCGCCACTGGGTTGGTTCGTAGATGTGATGAGGTAGGTTGCATTTTCACCCTTTGTCTTATCTTAGAATCTTCTCTATTATTCATTCCCAACATATTCTTACTTGACAGGTTGAGTGCAACCGTCGAGGTTTGCATTTCAGGGGATTGAGATTCTGATTCAATTGGGAGAGGTGTTCCACTGCAAATCCGAAATGATCCTATTCTTTTGTGAGCAAAGATATCGTTGCGTATTTGTTGCGACCATGAATCGACAGCGCTGTGTGGAACCGAATGCATCGTACCGTTTGGCAACGCTGAGAAGGACGATATTCTCTTCTCAGCAACTTGGGTACTGAATGGGAGAAGGTACACCGATTCTAGAAAGATGACACTGAATTCGTTGCCCGTGCAGTTCGCAGTCGTAGCTGTTGGCTCTTTGAGGTCCAGGACATACTTGAGCTGCAGAATCTCGACCTATACACCTTTTCCCTTCATGAAATCGTAGGATTGCTACGTACACTGCGCAGGTGATTCACACTGGAAATGTAGATAATTTCCCCAAGTCGTGAATCTCGTGCTCTACGAGTCCCCCGCATAAATCTGCATCAGGTCAGGCAAAGATTGCACAGCCCTGATAGTTTGATGGCATTGCTAACCAAGTCTCTATTTTAGCATTTGGCCACCAAAACCCGCTCTTGAAAGTCATAACAGTGCGACAAGTAGACCAGTTCCGCAATTAGAACAACAAATCCCAGCTTAAGTTGAAGTAGTGAGCAAGCAAAGAAGCCTTGCAAGCATTTCGTGACAAGATAGAAACTTATTATAAACTTTTACATGGAGATTCTGGATACTGAAATTCTTGACTGGTGCTCGACCATGATATCTTCACTTTTTCTGACTCTTGCAATCAACAGTTCCTTGGAGAAAGTGAACGTGTTAGAGGTCCCGTATGAAGACACGACCTTAGCTGAAGACAAGCAGCCTAAACGTATCCCTGGTCCACAACCATATGCATCTTGACAGAAGCGTCTCTGCAGCACATAAGCTCTAGCGGAGTAACATTCTCCGATGAGTCTCATGTTTTGAACTAGGTTGGTGGACATGGTGCTGCTTCACATGGGCATTATTGGGTGGAAAGTGTACGCATGGTAACAAATCCGAATCAACAACCCTTTCATCTTTGAGTTTGCTCTGGGTACAAAGCTCCAGTGTGGGGAGGCTTTTCTCGACTACGATGTGTAACTGGCTTGTTGCTGGGCACCAGGCAAGCTACCTCGGGAGACCATACCTCCCATCACCCTCCTGATTGCTCTCCTCTTCTGCCGTCACCTCAATTGGAGTTCATGCTGAACCTTGGAATAGTGATTACTTAATATAATCAATGTCCATTACAGCTCTTACTCAGCATCAAAAAGGTTCATCACTGCTTGCCTCGTGAGGTTCTCCTCTGAACTCTTCATCCTGTTGTCTGCAAGTGGATTAATCGAGAATGTGCAAATCATTCATGCGATTCCGCTTCATAATCGATGATTACTGAAATTTGTAAAGTTTGAGGACATTGCGAGATACTTTAGCTCTATGACGCTGTGAGGTATGCGTCTGCAATGTCAATTGGGGTAATTGAACTCACTTACTCCTTGAAGAAAGTCTCACCTGGATCATTTTCTTCATGTTCTAAATTTTTTTGCAGCTCTTCATCAACGTAATTGGAAACTTCTCGTTGACTGCGGGTTGCCTCTGAAAAGGTGCAACAAGTGGCTACGAGACAATCCCATTTTAAGGGAGTAATTACACTTAATTTTTTTATGTCATGAATCGGATCACCAATCCACTAACTCAGCTGTATCATTAACGACATTTGTTTAGAAGCAGAGCCAGTGTGATGCAACTATCCAGGGTTTCTTAATGTTCTGTCCCTGTAGGTGCACTCAAAAGCATTACAGAATGTCTTCTGTGCAGCCATTTTAGGGTAGCTATTTGTTTATACAATGTTTCTAAAAAAATGAGCTGCAACTATCCATTCTCACATGCTGGGTAAACATGTGACAACTTTTTCTTGAGTTAGGGGCTTAACAATGAAGAAGGGCTTATGATACAAATGACTGTTGAAATCCCTTAGGCTTCAGGTTTGATAACTTGTCCATTGACAGCTTGTGCAGTCTACCTCTTTCCATATCCGGTTTTCAACTTTCCTGTTCAAATCCAAGAGCATTGCTTCACACTTAGTCTGAAGCAACAAATGCATGGTACTGCTGAAGAGCTTCCTCACCTGATCTTGAGCTTAAGCTCACAATATCTTAACCTTGGGCATTTTACACAAGCTGACTCAAGAAGCTTGAACGTGATGAAATTGAACGAACGCACCTCATACTTTCTCACGTTATCTCGCACCCATTTGATTTCTTTCCACATCTGACGTTGCATTTTGCAGAGACAAACACATTTTTCTATCCTCAGCACTGCGAAGAGTTTTCACACTCAACGTCTCACTCTTCGCAGTTCTTCCGGATTGCAGAATAGTTCTGAGAACAAACCTACTCTCAGTCGCTTCAGTTAGCAATAATCCACACCAATGCCTTTTACTTCTTCGTCTCACCATCTGCGCCATTCTGTTTGATTATGAAGGTGTTGCTCTTCGAAGATCTAGGCGGTTGGGAGTAATCCCAGTGACGTAGGGATGAATTTTACAGGAAGATTCCCAAATACTTCACGTCATAGGACACTGGCATGGTGGCTGTTACTGCTGGCTGCTAAGAGTGTTGACATTGTAAGAGGCTCTTTGTACAGCTTCGAAGTTACGCACAGATACTCCGAGAAGGCGAGGAAAGAGCTCCAGGAGCGCCATGGACAAGCATTTCAAGATTGGCCACAGCAAGGTTCACCAGAGTTTCATGACATGCTCTTCTTCTTCGACCTTCGTCGCCACTTAGGGCGCATTGCTGCATCCAAGACGCCACCGCTCATGGCAAGCTCCACAGGAAACACCACCTACTACAACCAATATGACGGGTGAGAAACCATGTACTCAAGCCCTTGCCTCTTCTCGCTATGAAATGATGCGCAACGCTTAATATGCGTTGGTTTGAAGCTGCTCACGCATGAGCGAAGCTTCTAATCAGGTTGCAATACACATACATTGAAATTGGAACCCCTAGCCAGGCGTACTTCGTAGCATTGGACACCGGGAGTGACTTGTTGTGGCTGCCCTGCGCGCATTGTGTCTCGTGTGTCGCTTCAGTCTCTACTGAATTTGTAAGTACATTCTGACGAGCTCTTACCTTTTACAAGAGGAATACTCTGTGACCGCAGACTTCGAGATTTCTTGCTTCAGCTGATTGATTTAAACTTGATTATCGGATTGCACACAGAGCTCCACATATAACGTGTATGATCCGGCAGTTTCGACAACGTATAAGGGAGTAGGGTGTGGCAGTCCATATTGTGATATGGCTAGACAATGTGCTTTGGGCTCAACGCAATGCCCTTACCATTTGCAGTACCTTTCACCAGCTTCCTCTGAGGGCTACCTTGTGGACGATGTTATCTATCTCACCCCACAGAATGGTGGAGACAAGATTGCCATAGCCATTGTTTTTGGGTATGCAACCTCCTTGAACCCTAATATTTTTTTAAATTTTTTTGTCGACAGTCAGCTCTTGTGAATTGATTGACGTTGTAGGTAAGTGGTTGATTCAGGTGTGGAACAAATCAGACTGGGGCGTTCCTTAATGGTTCTACGGTGCCAAATGGTCTTCTTGGACTTGGCATGCGAGGTATATCTACTCCGAGCATTCTGGCTCGAGCGCAGGTGGTAGCGAATTCCTTCTCGATGTGCTTCGATTATGATGTGGGCACCGGAAGGCTTGTCTTTGGAGATCGAGGCTCCCCACATGCGGAGAGTACTCCCATCCTCACCAGATTATCGCCGTGAGATGATTTCCATCCTCTTCTGTACTTAGCGTTTACAATCCTTGATTGAATCGAGTGTTTTCACTGCAGCTGGTGGGAAGGTAGGAGAATTTTCTATACCTCATTTGAATGATGAATTCTTCTTTAAACCCCTTGATGAGCAGCCCATATTACTGGGTGAGCTTGACCTACGTGGTTGTGGGCGGAAAACATGTGCTGACGCCGGCAGTGGCTATATTCGACACAGGAACCACATACACTTACCTGACCACCACCTATTACAACAAGGTCGCAGCCGCTGTAAGGACTGATCTTAATTATCTTTTTCCTTACTTTGAAATGCTTGTGACAATAACTTCGCTTATTCTATTGGAATCTAAAAACAATTGGTTCTTCAAGCAGCAAGTACTGTTGAGTACCTTGGAGCTGAGTTGCACATAGTGGACTTGGAAGAATTGTTTCATAATTGATGGTAGAACGAAACCAAATGCGTTGTGGTGAAGATCTCTACCTAATTTCTGGAGTTCGAAGTTTTCACCCATGCCTGTGCAGGTTGACCGAGCAGTGCCTTATCAAAGAATGGTCAGCCCTGTGGACGCTTTCGATCTTTGCTATGCGCTAGACATGTAAGTTTTTAGTCTAGACCGAAGCCAGGTCTAAGTTCTTGCGGACGACTTTTCATACAATTGGATGCTACAGATTTTGAAGTCATGACGAGTGTAGTTGGTTTATGGCTTGCTCAACTGCAGAGACAAAACTAGTGTGGAATTACCTGCTATCGCTCTTCACTTTTCTGGTGGGGCGAAGCTCGAAGTTATTCGACCATATGTTCTCATCGGCGACTCTCAGGTGGATTACTGTATCTCATCATCTTTGTCTCTCTAGTATCTAAAAAGTGTTTATTCGAATTGAGGTTGACCTCTTTTAGTTGTTTTGGCCTTGTGAAAGCGTCCGCTTGATGAAGCGTAATAAGTTATGGAGTGACACCTGATCACAACCTGAGTCCCCCAATTTCCAAACTTTTATTTTAGTATTGATGCTGTTCGTAATTATGTACAGGATAGAATACTTGGATTCTGCTTGGCGCTGATGGATAGCCAGAGTGATTATAGCATTATAGGGCGTATGTTCTGATTCACTTTTAAAACCTCCCGGTTCTATTAACTTATTTTCTGTATACCTGAAAAACACCGCTAAGAGCTAGCACGCACATGCTATCTTATAAACATTGTTACCAATATCAAAACAACGGTGGGCTTGTTGAATTCGCAGACAATTTCATGGTCAATCACAGCATCACTTTTGATCGTGTAAAGAATAAGATCACTTGGATTCAAGTTCCTTGTAAGCCCTCCATAGCCCGCAGCTCGTTTCAAAAGGCTCTTTCGAACTCACATGGTAAACCAGTTTTATGCTCCCAAGCTAAATTTGAAGTCTCTCTGTGGCAAAGTTTATGCACAGAAATTAAATTCTCGCTAAATCACTATGCCAATAGCATCATCTTCCAGGTTTTCCAGCAGAGATTTCATTTGAATAATCGATTAATCTATTACTTACTAAAAGTAGCATGTAGCATGTTACAAGTATCGAACAAGTGCTGGATTGAAGCGTCGGGTTCTGGCTGATTGGTTAAGCATTGCTTCAGCCATTCTCTCTTTCTGTTGTACGGCCTTGAGAACCAACTAGGGATGCGAAGTGCCACAAACCGCTGGTTTGACTCGAATAGTGCTCACCAGAAATTTTAAAGGTATATCCAGAAGTCCAAGACAGATCGTGACACTTAAATATTTGTTGCAGTTTTATACAACAAAGAAGTTCAGTTACTTAAGCACTTTACTTACTTTTTCCCCAGAATCAGTGCTTCTACTACACTATACCTTCTTTGTTTTGGCTTTTTCCTAGAATTCATATTCTTCAAGAATGACTGATTTGCGATGATAGTAGATATAGCAGTTTCTACAGCCATTTCAGGAGTCTTGTGTATACTTAGTCGTAACTCAGTTCATCTCGAAGTTTCTGAAGGTAGATTTGAACTATCACTTCGTTTCAACATTTACCGCTACTTTGGTGTGAGCATTTGGCATATTTTCTTAAACAAGTTTCGATAACTGTGAAGTGGATGTTTGACTATCTCATAATATCTCATGGTTTCCACTTGCTAGTGAGTGCCCCCAATGTTCTGATAGGCTTTCATGTACACAGGCTCCGCAAGTCAACATATGAGAAAAGGCGATTCTTGTGGGAGACAAACGCTTTTGGTGTTCCCATTTCAATACGAAATGAAGATTAGGGAAGGGACAGGGTTTACAGCTTCTATCCTTGTTGATAAGTCTATCAGTAAACGTAGTTCTTTCCCTCACTGATGGACGATCCTTTCGAGTAACACCTCAAACTAGAAAGTCTGATCCCATCCGAAATTCTGTCCACCCATAGGATTCAACCTTTTTCAGGTGTTAATGCAGTCATTACCACTTAGCTCATGAGAGCAAACTGAAGGAGGAGATGAGATGATAACCCCAGTTTAGGACACGCTTCGTGGAGGACCAAGCAGTCAAATTTGATTGCAAGTCTTCTGTGCTACGATGAAGACATGCAACGTCTAGAAACAACGTCTAGACATGCAACTGTAGATGACGATAAGAATTACTTGCGACAGGAGAGGAAAGTAAGTGAAGATTGCTGATCTTCGTCTCATCCGATTTCACCAGCAACCTTTGATATAGAGGCTTGAATTTCAGTTTTGAATTGGATCTTGACAGATATTAAATAACACGAACAAGATAGAAAGTCGTCTAAAATCATCAAGACCTGTGTTTTTATGACGTGCTACAAAAAATTGTCATAGCTTCCCATAGAATTCATTAGTGATGAAGCAGTAATGTTAAGAGCACTGAGTTGTAGTGTCTTTTACAACTTCTTCTAATCTATTATTTTTTAGAAAATATTGCAAATAAATACGAAAGGAAAACAGCAGTAGTATTAAAAATTATTTTTGTATTTCAAATTTTGTTTAGAATTTCTGCATGATGTCTTTATTAAGAGTGTGAGTGTTGAGAACCTGACATTAAAAAATTTATCATGCAAGTAGAAATATAAATAGAAGCAAGACTGAAATCATCTTCAATTTTTCCAATAAAATTATAATGAAAATTAAGAATTTCAGGCACAATTTTTATCAATGTATTTCCAAGAAAGCCACTAACTCAATTTGCAAGCAAAAAATCAATCATGTGCACATAGAGATTATATATTTTTTATGAATCTCTCTGTAATCTCCATATGAACTAACACAGTACTTAAATTCCCTATAATTAGCAATGATTTTTTTTAAAATGTTAAAATATTCATTGGATTGGCATGTATTGCAAGTGCAATACCAAATTAAGTATAAATATACCAACATAATAACACATACTTATATATATATATATATATATATATTTGTGTGTGTGTGTGTGTACCTTAAACTATTGAGAATTGTTTAGTAACTCCCAGGCTGCAGTTTCTCATTCAAAACCACCAGTGCCGACAGAGAGATGGGCAGAGTTGGCCAAACCATGGGTTTTGATGCCTACCGACAGCTGCCTCAGAAGTCGCGGAGGCAGCAGCAGCAGTGGGGAGTGGAGATCCCATTTGTCATGGCTCCTCGAAGATAGTGTCCTTTCAAACCCAGCTGCATCCCTCTTGGCTTCCTCACGCCCATGCCTGTTGTGGAGCTCTCGCCATGTGGTACGCAGCTTGTCACCTCCACGCACTGCGAGCTTTCCCAATCTTTGTCACCCACAGTTTAAATCCGCATGCACTGCGTCCATTTACTAGAGTTTAACTGCAGTGCATTGATCATGGTGTCTGCACACGAAGAGTTTGAGATCTGGCAGTGTGTGGGTTGATGTTGCTGTTGCTGTTGTTGTAGTTGAGGCTCTGAGCTGGAGTAGATGCGTCTGGAGCCTGAAGCTAGAGACGATCAATGGAGAGATTGTTATTTATTTCTTAAGTTTAGGCGAGGTTTGAGACTGTTTGGATTCTTTGAAAAGATGAATGGCTGCGTAGCGTGTTGAAAGGGAGATGAGATTGGAGAACGTGTCGATGTAGCAGTGGAATTGATGTGTGGAGTTCTCGCCGGAAGCACTGGTGCGTTCCATCGTCTTTCTTTCATGCCGATTGTGGTGCAGTTTTGTTGATGTCACGCTTTACTGTTGACACGGTGAGATTAGGACATTTTGTTGGATGTGAAGTCCATGAAATACATTGGATGCAGTTGTGATGGTTGAGGCTGTTGAACAGATTGGAAGAACTTTCAATTGCCGTCGGTGAGGCCATCTGTAGGATCCTCTTAGGAGCTTGAAACAAGCAACATGACGAGCACTGGGCGTCTTCTCGGCCTCCAGCTTCCCCCAGTTCCTTCACATCTATCTGATTTCATGCCATCTTGTGTCCGATCCGCCCAAAAGAGTGACGCGAAGGAATGCTCCTCGATAACTCCAGTGCCAGATTTGCCACTTCAAGGCCCACACGTGGTATCAGCTTCCAATCCGTTGTGTACGAAATTGTGCCCAAGTGACAACAGAAATGCTGATATGAACAGCCTTGAGCGACTTCAAGCTACCAAAAACCCTTCATCCTTCACATTGAGCTGCACCGACGACGTGATTGAAGTGATCAAGCCAACAGAGGAAAAGGACAAGACGGCAGTAGAATCCCCATCGGCGTCTGGGTGGGGTGTTCCATATTTCAAGCGTGGGGGTAATTCCGAAGTGGATTCCAAAGCTTCAACCACTAAAACTTCCCCTGAATCACACCCCACGACACCGCCTGAGGAGGATGGTGCAGTGACTGTAAGTAAAGAGACGGGAGAGAACAGCCATTCTCACTGCCGTGGGCTCCGATCGAAACTCAGCAGCATGCTTTCATTGGAAAAGAGAACCAGCCTGACGGGCTTACCTCTGGTGACCGGACATTCCAGCCAGTATGTGATGGAGATGTCAGGATTTCAGTCGACCTCGTTCAATCGACGAACCCAAGGGGTGGAAAGCAAGATAAGCTCTGCAATTCAGAAGGAGTCTTTTGCCCGGATGTTCGATTTATATGACGAAAGGAACTTCTCTTCCCATCCTGGCTATGGCGCGACAGGAGGGTATAAGCTCGGTAGGGCAACTGATGCAGCAGTGGATGCGGGGGTAAAAACTAATCCCCCCTGGATCGACAAGGACAAAGTAAATGACGCATGGGGTACAGAGCCGTGGCATTCCGACCAGCGGAACATCCTCATGAAGACTTTGCACATCATGCGCTGCGACATTGAATCTCTCAAGGTAAGTGACATCTTGAATATATGTGCAATACAGACAGGAAGAAAGTAACATCACTGCAAAAACAAGATTTCCCCTTCCTCGATCGTATGATTTCTGACTGTTGTAAGTCTTGTCAGATGATGCTCAGATCCATTGACCTTCCTGCAGCCAGGGGGAGGCCCCACGATGCACATCAATTCGACACCCTAGTAAGTACTTCGTTTCTCACTCTGCAACTCATTATGTTAAGAAACATGAGCCGAATTAAACCATGGAGCAGTTCCCCCTCACTCTCATGCGAAAAGGTTGTGTTCCTTCCGAATCTTCGACTGAGTTCATTCCATCTTCAGAGCTCCCGATTTCGAAGGATGTAACGGGTGTTCAGTGAAGTGAAAGTCACGTTGTTGTTTTCTTCTGAAACATCTTTGGATCGTCCACGGTTTTGTAGGCCCATGCGCAATGCCATCCAGTGATGATGAGGAGCAGTGTTGCAATGTCCGAAACACAAGAAACTTCTTGCAAACCACTCGATGATGTGCAAGTTCAGAATCGCATTGAACCTGTCGTAGAGGACAAAACATCAGCTCAGGCTGCAGAAAAAGTTGCGAGTTCAAAGGCTGGCAAGGATCTTTGTGTGTCAGAGTTGAATCCACCTGAGAAAGGAGAGAGTGACGAGCCGTTGAGTACGTGGAGTGGTGGGTGTCCCAAAAAGAGGAAACAGTGGTGGAGAGAACTGTTGGCCGCATTCGGATTGACAGTGTGGGTTCTCACTGGAGCAGTCCTGGTTGCCAAGGCTATTGGTGTTCCGAACCTGGGAGTTAGCAACAACCTGGCTTATAGCGGTTGCTGGGGCCGTTCTGATGACGAGGAAAGGGCCAAAACTCCAGGGTACTCTACCCCTATCAAAATCCTTCGATCACATGTCAAAGCTATTCAAAGCTTAGATTCTTATATAAAGTCTCAATCCGTTTCGGTGTAATGAAAACATCAGTCTCCACGAAACGTCTCACCCTTCTCTTTAAATTTCCAGTCAAGGAGCGAATGGAGTAGTGGAGCTCCGCTTGTGCACCTTTGATAATGTGATCAAGAAGAGGTAACTGTCTTTCGATCCGCCAGAGACATCACGCACAGATAGAGGCAATTCAAAACGTATGCATTCATCATGCGCCAAGTAGAAGTTACGGTTTGCAAATCGAGCCCTTTGTCAAGCCTTCTTCAGGTGAAACTATATCATGATATTTGTGGTTATTTCGTACATGAATCCAAGCTGGGAAAGGAATTTCAGGGATTTGTACCAACACCTCAGGGCTTGTTCCTATCCAGGCTGTCAACAGCAGAATAATATTGGAAATTTATCTGCTCGTCTTTTTTCCTGTGCAGACCAACGCTTGTCATGTTCTACGCACCATGGTGTCCTCATTGCCATCGCTTGCGTCCCATGTGGTCCCAGCTTGCTGGTGTGTTGAACGATCAAGGATATGATGTTCAGGTGAGTTCTCTACGCACACAGTTTTCTCTCCAAAATCGATCCGAAGAAAAGATCGATGAGGGCAATCTCAGAAACATCAGCTCTTTGAGATTTATTGCGTTGATGTCGGTGAGATAGTCGGAATTGAACAAAGCATCTCTAACTCAGTGCGTGTTTATCGAAACAGCTGGCAGTAGTGGATGCTACAAAGTACACCAGGCTAGCTGATAAATTTGAGGTGCCAGGATTCCCTACACTAATCATGTTCATGAATGGAGTGCCTGTTGGAAGACACCAAGGAGCACGCGACATGGACACTGTTCTATCCTTCATCAACGACCATAAGTAGGTCAATATTCCGTTAAGTCTAAGTGGTTGCAGCAACCTAGAGTTCGTTGAATGAGATTGCATGAATGGACACCGTCGTTCAGTAGCCCCCTTAAGAATCATTTCCACTCGCTATGAGTCGTTGTTGACCAGCTCATTTCGTAACTAAGTCACTGACGTCATTTCGACAAGTTCAGTTCACTTGAATTGATAGAGTACTCCAGAACTCTTTCACATGATGGCTCTATCGCATGACGACTTCGCATGCGTCCAGGATCTAAAAACTTGGTCGAAATGAATTATCCTGCTGTCATTGCAACAGGAGGTCCGGAGAAGGCAAGAATTTCCAGTAGTACACTATATTTGGCTTTATGACGTGACTCTAAATCTTATGGGTGAAATGATATTAATTGCGCGAGTTTGAGTTAAACATTCACACAAATCCCCTTGATTTTAAAAGCATATCATTTTGGAGATGGGAACATCAATTTTGGGTTTAGTTGGATCACACACTGCATGCCGGCTTCCTACCAAGCTCCATTGGTATGACATATCTAACCTACCGATCTTGTTGATGATTTGGCCAAGGTGAAATTGCCACACGACTTGGACACGTCTAGGGACTTTCATTAAATGTAAGACAAAATCTGTCCGTGGGATTTCAATCTGTACTTAGAAGACACTAGTTCTGCTCAGGAGCAAATTCCACATCATGGAATTCGTCATGAAATGGGACAACATGTTTGCGGTTGTCATTGCAGTAAGCTTAGGGTACCTCACTAGTCGATCGCTGACACACATCATTGCGTGTCTCGAAAGGCTGTTGTCTATACTTTACGGAAAAACATTGTATTCGACGTTACAAGGAAAGCATGTAGTTGTAACAGGAGGTTCTAGCGGCATCGGATACGCCATAGCCAAGCGTGCTCTTGAGGATGGTGCATCTGTAACTCTCGTAGCTCGGAACGTGGAAAAGCTGCAAAAAGCCAAGGCTTCCCTGCTGGAAGAGAGCAGTTACTTACTCGATGCTGTACATGTCAAGGTAAAAGCTCACTTGCATTTTCTTTACGATGTCTGTTGACAAAGAAAAACTAGTTCAATTCGTTTGCAACGTCCACATCCTTTATGGCGAAACCAATGCTATTGTCTTATTTCTTCATTGTTGCCTTGGCCTACTGGAGTCTGCGGATGTAAGTGACGCCATAGCCATTACAGCTGCGATACGCGATTCCCAGGAACGGAAGCCCATCGATATACTTGTCTGTAATGCGGGTGTGATTTTCCCCGGTCTTATTGATGAGGTTTCCGCGACAGAGCTGGAGGACACCGTGAAGGCAAACTTATTAGGAACTGTATATCCCATTCATGCAGCCATTCCTCTCATGAAGAGCTGTGGCCCCAGGACTCCAAAATCCATCGTCCTCGTTAGCTCCGTAGCAGGACTGGTATTGAACTCAGACACTCTTGCACCACTCAACTTGTAACGACAAGACAATCAACGGAATCTCTTGTGACTGCAACTTGTTGACTGATTGATGTTTAACCCACGTCCCTGTAATGACCAAGCAGCATCAAAGCTACGGCGCCAATGTCTATTCGCCAACAAAATACGCTCAAAGAGGCCTTGCAGAAAACCTACGGTGGGAGCTTCTCCCTTGCAACATACACATGCACGTCGTATGCCCGCGTTTCGTAGACACCCCCATGCTCCAAGGTACTTATCTGATTAGTTGCTTTGACTGGCCAGATTCTGAAGTGACTTGCATAGCCGTGTTGTAGTGCTAACCCCAGGTGAATTCATGTCAGCTGGAGAAGCAAACTCGGAGCTAGCAAAGATTTCTCGAGAAATGAACTTTTTCAACCCAGATCACATTGCCACCGCAAACCATGTGGCAAAGTGTACCTGGGCGGGCGTACGAAGGGGCAGATTCTTGATAACCACCGACTGGGTGGGACATTTGTTAGCAGTCGTTTCCAGAGGCCCTATTCCTGAGGACTCCATCGCCACCGACATCTGGGAGCTTCTCCTCATCCTTCCCGTCCGGTTGTTGGGCTTTGTCCTGAAGGGAAAGTTGACACAGACCATACGACGGCTTGTGACTATCCCTTCACATACTGAGATCAGTAACCAGTGAATAGTCCTGGTTTTGTGACACTATTCTAGTGAACCACTTAGGAACATACTCAAGGAATTCAATGTGGAACAAAAGAAAGAATTGAACAAACACAGATAAACGAAGGATAAGAGTGTGCTTCATTATTTTTTACAAGATAAATATACAGGTTGGGGCCAGCTAGGTTGGGTGTTTGTTAAATCCACACCAGCAGGCTTGTGCAGTAATTTATACAAAAGGCGTCACTTGATGGGTCTATATATTGTGGATGCAAACGTTTCTTCGTTTTTCGAATAATGCCGAGTTCGATGAAAAAATAATATGAATTGGGACTGGCTCATCGAACGGTTGGTCCTGTGAACCTGTTTGGCCTTTTGCACATCACACCCAACCACATTCCATAAATACGTCACGTACCTGGTCACTAATAAAACACTTATAGATAGATGCAAATTGTAGAGAGGTGTTCAGGTCTTAGTACTTGTTTCAAGTCATCTCATTCACATGATCGAAATAGGGTAGTATATAAGCAGTATTCACTTTGTGCAAGTCTTCCCCTAAGCATGTCTAACTTTGAACTTGACTCCCATTACCTGTCATGCACTAAAATCCTTCCATACTTGAGCCTACATTGTTTAACTCTAGCTCATTCTATCAATTGGGAAGAATTTGTACCTCTGGGGAACAGCTTCTTGGGAAGCTAAAGCTTGTGCGAGACGCTCCTCAAAAGAAGTTGCATGCCACATTACTTTCTGATCCTGCATCCCACAGTCCGTGTCACTAAACTTTTTCATATTCCAATCCGTAAGTCACTACTGCCACATGGTACAATGATCAATCAACTTTTGTAGTCTACTAGTACATCATGAACAAGTAAACATGAGAAATTGATACTCGCCTCTCTGTACTTGTGGGTGGAATTAGGAATGCCCTTGCCGTCCCACGCTGGACGCTTCGTAGCCCACGCAGCCTCCCAATGATCAGCAAGGGAGCCAAATATGGGCCTTTCCTCAGGATTCATGTCCATCACCCGCATGAAATTCAGCTCCGAAGTTGTAGGTTTGGGCGACACAAACACTTCCGGCGAAACTAGAATGTTCCTGACTGGGGTTCCCATCACCGTGTCATTCTCTTTTCGACCCTCACACTGCGAAACTACGATTTTTATTGGCTTCCGACGCACGCTACCAGATTCTTTCCTTCCAAACGTTTCAACTTTCGGAGATGCCGAAGCTGCTTCATCTCGTGACCCTACTTCTGAGCTACTGGTTGAGGAGTCTGAACCCTGATCAAGGATACGACCATCGATGCTACTTGTTGCACCTTTAGCAGGAGACAAATCCCTACCTCGCCCTTGATTGCCACTTACGTTTTCATCTCTCTGTCCAGAAGCAACTTCAATGCATGAACCAGAATTGGATTCCACTTCTAGGGGCTCATGCCTCGTTTGCCCTCTTTGGGTTGGCAATTCTTCTACCTTCTCCACGAGCACACAGTCGTCCCACTCTTCCGTGGAGAGAAACTCAGAAACATCCCTTGTCGCAAGTTCAGTGTCCAAAGCTTCTGTTCCACTCCAATTTACGGACAACCCCCCTGGGGTTTCTTGTTGCTGATTGTCAGGGACAGGGTTACTACTACAAACCCCGTCGTGAGATCCACGACGCCCTTGTGGCAAGTTGCTGTTGATGGACGAATGGAAGGTAACATCGCTATTTCGCTTGGCCCGGGGCTCCTCCGTTTGGAATAAGGATTCTGCAACGGTTGATAAAGGTGCTTGAGACAGACGAGACCCAGGTTGCAAGGACCATTTTCTTGATGACGAGAAGAGGCTGCCAATGTACGAAGGTTTTGGAGCAGGCTGATCCATGGGAGTGAAATCTGCTACTCCCGACTCTCGTCTGCTTTCCTTGAAAGCAATTACTGCTTTTGAGGCTTTTATATGGTCTTCCGAAAGATCCAGCAGCGGCGCAGAATGAGGGCGTTGAGAACGTGCGGTCTCCGGGGCAGGAAGAAGCTCGTGCGGCTCCAAATGAATTGGATAACTGTTAGTTCCTCCTGCACCACTCTGCAACTCAACCCACTCCATGCCAGAATCCTTGCAGTTGGTGGTCATTGCCAGCTTCAGAGCTACATTTCGTGACCTTTCTGTAGTTTGAACTTCCTGTAGAGGTGACAGAATTTCGCATTATCAAAATCTCCGGATTACAAAAGCATCGTGATTTTACGATCATATGTAGCGTGCAAAAAGGAGACGGTGTAAAATGAAAAGTATTAGAAGTATGAATACCTTGGACAGCAAACCAGGAAGCGAACTTGGTTCTTGCGTCCTTGCAGCGCTTTTTGCCACGGCAGGCATAGCAGCCCTGCCAGCCCACGCTACGGTTTTAACATAAAAGAGAACCCAATAATTAACTGAATGGAAACCTGAAGGAAATGCTTCAATCGATTTGTAATCTAATCATGAATCTCGTACTTACAACGCCAGGGGACCATTGCTAGGTTCGTCGACATCTATCAAATGTTTAGAGGCAGACTTCCGCGTGGGTGGTGTTATTCGTGGGAAATCGATAGAGCCTAAACTTATTTCAGGCAAATCATCAGTGTTGTCCCAGTATAGCCCATAATTATTTCTGATTCTCTCGTTGGAGGCAGAATGCCGAAATTCATGTGTTCCCTGAAAATTTAAACCAGCCGTAGCGAGATTAAAAACTAGTCCAAGAAAAGTTCAGTAATCAACGTGACGTTACAGGGGTGAATCTGTACTCGTACATGAAAGAGAGACTTAAGATGTGGCAGATCATTGTGACTTTGTAGCTCGGAAAAACCACATGCTTCCGTAAACTTGAGAGCCGAATTGAATACCTTATGACTCCGATCGTTGCCGTCCAGTGCACGTGCACGTAAATCCCTCTCCCAAGTTTCATCCGCATTTCTTCCCAACGATGAGGCTTCCTTGGATGATGTCGGGGACAATGGCGCATTGCTGTTGACGAACGCGTCGTAGCCAGCTGCTCTGGGATCTAAGAAGTCTGCAAAAAGAATCCAACGTAACCACTTGAGCTACAATTCGCCTGTGTGCAACTGTCGTTACAAAGACTTAACAAACAACCTCATAGTGCATCAATGAGAAGTGGCCACAAGACCTTGTATTCGCATAAGTTAACAGCCCTCCTAGCATAGTTTTCACACATATACACACAGCGTAAATCAAAACAGACGTCCACTGTCAACAAAGCACGACCTGTAGGCCTCCGGACAAGACCAATTCTTCAAAGGAAAAGATTTCTTCATCACCGAACCAATTCTAACCTTCTATGCGCGGAGTCTTGGTGAAGTCGTACTGGTGCGCGAGCCTGGAATCGTACGTGTCGCTGCTCACTCTTCTCTGGTACACACAAAACGTCACACAAACGAACAAGCATAATTCTACTCTGGTTCGAACTAGACAAAGGATCGGGCGGAGAAGACACAATCGGCTACACCGTGACCCACACAACACAACCACCCCGCAACCAGCCGCAAGAATAGTTCATCAAACACACTGGCAACGAGTTGCTCGTTCACACACCACTTCGGGTTCTTTCTACAACAATCGAATTCCCGCATCCCTGAAGGTTCACACTCCAAGATCGTACCCCAATCCTGCGAGCTGATTTATTTCTGATTCCGACGCACATCCACACCCACCCCATCCCGCCTCGATCCTTATAATACCGTGTTCAGCATATGTTTAGGTCTCTCCATCGCCAACAATACCCAATCCACTTCACCTACGGTTCATGCTCCTCCCAATGCGGTCCAGGGCCCAATGCGAGCACCATCGACCACCGATACACACTTCCTACACAATAATGCACCTCCCAACACATGAATTCCTTTTGCGGCCCCAAATTTGGAGGTTGAGTGATTCTGGTGCAAGGTCTACGGGCAAGTGCGAAGATGGCGGCGGCCTTTCAGAGACCTGTAAACTCAAGCCAACCAGCCAGTCTTACCGTGGGAGAGACGAGTGCCAAATACCGAAATTCCCTCTCTGCCCCCTGCCCGACACCAGGATTCTTCTCCGAAGCGAAAATGCTTTATCTGGCGGGTGTAGTCACAATACTTTTGATCTACCAAAGCTCTTCTCATGCAGGTTTAGAGGAATTTATCTATCTCCTGGAGTCGCAGAGTGTCGCCTGAATGCCATTTGTCATGAAGACTTTGACACAGTCCACTTCCCAATACTGAGGGTTCATCATGCCGGTTTCTCAGTGCATTGATCTCCACAGATTATAGGGTTGTATTGCTTAATGGGGAATCCGAGGAAGATCGACTTAGAAGTGCGAGATCTATCAACTTCGATATAGTCCATGATAATCGGAGTTATTTGTGCGCAAGGGGGCTTGATCTTTATGGTTGGATACAACTTAATGCTAAGCGTAACATTTAAGGGCTTCGCTGCCTGGAATACTTCTGGTTACCGGTAGGAGCGCTGCTGTACTGGTCCGGAGTACAATTTCGGTTTTCATTTCCACTCATCTGGTTGTCTGCGGATTTTTATACTATGAAGGTGCCAAAATTCCTGGGCTGCCCAAAGAGAGTCAACCCAAACTGCTTAATTCAAGTTTCTGAGCCCCCAGAGGTGCCAGCAGAATATAGACCAAACCCAGCCGAACAAATTCCAGCGCAGCTTACAACTAGTGAACGCGCTTTACTACACCCCCATTGAAGACAACGAGGAGGGAGCTCTGGAAGTTAAACCTGAACCCAAGTCAAGTTCGACAGTCTGGTAGTGAATGGTAGCTTGTGTGACACAAGTGGAGTGAATCCCTGGAAGTTTGCAAACAACTCCGATATGACTTGATGATGGGGAATCCTAAGCTGAGCGACGGCCGGTTCCATCCAAGCGAAAGGCGGGCTACGGCTGCGTCCACAATTTTACATGCTACAGGACGTCGTAGCCCTGAAAAGAGGAGTAAGTAGGACGAACGAGATGAGAGGGCACACACCAATCCAAAGCGTGGCTGGCGGCCCAGGGGGGAATGGGGCCACATCAATGTCGCACGCAATGCAGGACAACAGCAATCGAAATTAAAAAATATCGCATGGCATTGAATGTGAATGCAAAGCGTGCCTCGCGGTCCATTCATGCTTCGTCGCCGATGGAGTGTGGCTTCTTCGTCTTGAGAGTCACGCCGAGGACTCTCTGCATGAGTGGAATACGTGTGTTACTTAATTATTTCGGTATAATTAGTTTGTATCATTGTTTACTTTGTTTGTTTGTTTATCAAGTTTCTCAGTTAGTTAATTACTACGCCTTTGCGTGGCTGGGTTGTGACTCGTGTGTAGAACTCCCTCCTGTTGCAAATCATCCTTTGTCACACTGCGGAACGTGGGGCTTTGGCTATGTTCACCATGATAGGGAATTGAAGTAGAAAGAAATTATTTTAACCATGGATTTTACTATGTTTTATTATTATTATTATTATTGATTAATAATTTAAATAATGAATGTAATTCTTCTTCTTGTTCATTGGGTACTGTTTTCTTAGAGGAAGAGTGTCATTTACCTTAGCCAGATATTTTCATTCGTATTTTAGATTATGGTGCCAAAAACACTGGGTAGTATTTTGGTATTGTCCTTATCTTCTTTGCATCATAGGCATTTCTAGAGAAGTACAAATCACTACAAATTTTTGTTTCGACCAATTTGTACTTATTTAATTTTTTTTTTTGTTTATTTATAAAAACCAATTCTGTTGATATTTCTTTGATTTTCTTTTCGGTTATGTAAATCATATTATTAGTGGTTTAAATATTATAAAGCCAAGTGTACTAATTGCGTTTTAAACCAGAATACTAACATATAATATCAAGATTTTTTTTAGATAAAAAAATTAATCACTCGTTCAATTCTAGCATAATATTTACGCACATGATAATAAAAATCACCAGGTCATCTTCGTACAAAAATAAATAAATAAATAAATAAATAAACTTCAACTAACTCTGTTACCTAACGTTATAGTTATAAATATGATGGCAATTTACGAGCATACTGAAAATATTATAAATGAATATTCAATCCTTAAAATTAGTATATATATGCAAGCAGAATCTCACCAAACTTATCCCTTAGATAAGACTGCCTTTGTCCTTTGGCCTTGCCATGGTTGCAAGTTTGACCATGATCCAATTGGTTTGAAATGTTTATCTTAATACCAACAATGGAGAGATTCCCAACACACTATTTCACATTTGTGGGTTATATTTGTCCTTTATCCTTTACGAATTTTGTGCTTTTCTTTCTTTCTTTTTTCGTTACCTTTCATTTCATGCCTGTTATTTATTTTTCTTTTTCTTTGTTGCAAAAAGAGAAGCACACAAAGTTGTTCGAAGAAGCCCAGCTGACTGTGCGGGCCCTGCCAGCCTGGCTCTCACTACATCACAAGGAATCTTTGAGAAGTCAGATGGAAGGTAATGCTAACACTCAAAAAGTGAAATTTATAGTTATTAATCATCTTTTATGGTGATTTGGTAGGTTACATAGCAACTTTGTGTGCTACTAATGAATGTTGTGTATCTTTCTGCAAAAATGGGACTTACAGCATTTTGATACAAAGTTGATATAACAAGTAATTATTTTACAAATAGTTATTGAATATTATTGGGTTGTTTGCTCATGAAAATAACCATGAAGGCGCAAAAAAAAATTACATATTATGTATAACATTCAAGATCATTTGTAGTGGCTTTTTTCCAAACATGAGCCAACAAAATGGCAATCTGTATATATTTATAAGTTATTTTGTAATTATTTTTAGAATTAGTATTGGTTTTTGCATTCCTAATGTAATCTGTAGTGTGTGCACAAGGTCACTTCAAAAGATCACAAGGTTGATGGAAAATATTAAAATTCTAATACTTTTGAAAATTGTTAAGTTACAAGAGAAAGTAGTATTTTCTTTGGACCTCAGACATGAGGACAACATTGCATTCAACTTTAAAAAAGTCAAGTTGAACTAGTTGAATCTTTATATTTTAAAGTTTATTAAATGAGGTATAATAAAATAAACATTTCAATTTGACATACTCACTTCCATGCCATTGAGACATATGCCATAAAGAATTCAATACACAAAAAAGAATGATCATTAAAACATGATATAAAAGTGTATGACATATGTATTTATAATTTTTTTATTTAACTAATTAAAAAATCATGTATTTAATTGTAAAAGATTGTAACTTTAAGTTTTCATATGTAATAGACATATATTAATTATTACATGTGGCAACAAGCACAATGCAAGTTTGCATAGTTTCTAAAACATTTGTGTCATCTTTTGTATAGTTTTTTTGTAAAATAAATTATTTGTTTTTCATTACAATTATGAATGCACAAAACATATCTATTAGTTAGTGATTTTTTTTTAATAATTTTAATTCCGATCTTTATTTATGTTAGAATGGCTACATTAAATTAAATTAATTTTAATATATATATATATATGTATATATATATATAGATTTAACAAAATTGACAAAATAAAAAATTAAAGATAAAAAATTAGTAACTGATAAATCTTTGCATTATTTGTACATATAATATATGGTGTTTTAAGAAATCTTGTTATACTTTTAGGTTATCAATTATAATACAATATTTTTAAAATATTGCTTCTTAAGCTTATTAAACATTATGTTTTGGATTTTTAGGTATAATTTTTTTGTATAAGTTTTTGGACTTTGAAGTTTGCAAAAGCCTCACATTTGTATTTTTGTATTTACTATAATGACTTAAAATTAGTATAACTATTTTTTATATTTTTGACTTTACTATGGTGTTGAAAAACACCCAACCAATCTAGGAACCTTGTATGGCCTTCAAATCTTGCTTCATTTCTTCATAATGGCCTCCAAGATAACAAAACTCATTTTTATCAAAATCTTAAAAATTACTCTAAAAGTTCTAAGTAAATTCTATACTATTTATATAATACTAATATCAATTTAAGGATATATTTTCTTATCTTTGTAATTTTTTATAATAATAAAATTAATTCAAATCAACTGTAAATCATATTTTTTGTATAAATAACTAAAAAGACATGAAATTATTTTTCATGTTTCTTGTAACTACTAAATAATATTTATAGTTCTTTTATAAGTGATACATGAGGATAGAAAGCTAACATAGACCTTGGTTTCAATAACTAACCGTTAATACTCATAAATAAGTAAAAATACTAAACCACCTAAGTAAATTGCATCCAAGACTTATTAAGACTCTATTTTAATGATTTTTTCTCTAATAAGTCTCTTATATCTTATAAATAATAAAATAATTAAAAACCTATAATCTTTATATGTTTGTAATTAAATAACTTAAAACTATATTTTTAATAATTCTATCAAATAATATCTATTGAAAGGACTCACAAAGTATTTTTTTTAAAATTATTATGGATGAAGTTTTGTAAACTTTATCTACATGTAATTTTTGCAAAAATCATCTAATCTTTAAATATGATACTATTTTGGAAATAGAACTTAATAATGATGAATTTAATTATAAATAAGTTTTTTTTCAATTAAGGATGCAAAAAATATTTTTGTAAGTCCATGGATCAATCTAAAAAATGAAGTTTGAACTTGAATAATGTAAGGCCCTCTTAAAATTTATTCATTAAAGTAAATTGCTTCTCATATATATAAATGTCTTATAATTACTATTTGTAATTATTCACTATCATTTTAGGGTATAATTCTTATTACTTATTTGTACCTTAAGTTGTGGTGTTTTGAAAGAATAATACTCTCATCAATGAGATCATTTTTGTTAATGACAATATTATAAAGCAAACAACACACCAATATCAAGCTAGGAATTCTTTTTAAATTGAGATTTTTGATAATTTTTTAAAAAATCTTCCATATTTCTTTTAAAATTCTAAATGAATATTCTACTATCACATGCATTGATGAGAGCATAAAATTAAATTTATCAAATAGTCTAAAAATTTAGATTTTAAGCTAAAAGACACATAATTTTTTATTACCAATAGATCTTATATCAAGTACAATCAATTCACTAATATCAACACCTTCAATTTTTATTGTTGTCTAATTCAATATTCTTCTTACAATCACATCTTTGAAGTAATTTGACATTAGAAGTATTTGAAAATCATCTA